CTTATCAGCAGGAAGGCGATAAACACCTTCTCTCGCAGTGCAACCTGAACGAATGCACATATAACCAGCAGAACGCCATCACGTTAGACACCCATAAATACCGCGTGGTGCTGTATGAGACCCATCTCCGACGATGGACGTTTTTTTGCTTTTAAAACGTCAGGAAATTAAACTTATTGTCCCCTTGATCGCCTCTTCTTCTCGTATATATGTTTTCCATAGGAAATAGGCATCGTAGTAAATTGAACTGAAGGGTATTAATATACACTAAAATGGAACGATGTTAATCATGTAAGTTTTCTCAAACGGCCCTCCAACGCAAAATCAGACATATGAACTATGTACAAAAACAATTAACTCTTCCCCGCTCCGTTCAGTTCTGTGAATGTGTGGATGCTAGGTTACGTTCCTGTGTTAGACGTGGCCATGGGTTTAGTCCATTTATATTGGGATACAGTTAAATGCCAGGCAAGGTAAATAAAGGGGAGAGAACGACGTAGATTCAGTGCAAGTCTGGCTGACACTCAATAAGATAAGGAATTTCGTCCACACAACACTGCTGGATTGGCCCCGTGGTGACTTATTCGCCTATTACGGTCTCCGTGTTGACCCTTGTGGCGAAGTGAAGTACTGTTTAGTGATAGCTTTCTTTTGGATATATATTTCGGGAATTATAGTAACATGAAGACGACATTTAACTTATCTTTAGAACTTAAACTGCTGGTTCGAAAAGTAACTTTCCTACAACATGACTTTATTAATAAGGTGTTCTATTGAGCCCTGTCAGGCAAAGGTTTGTGTGGTGTATGTTGTGAATTTTAGCAAACACGATGCCGAAGGCTGGGCGTGAAAACTCTCAAGCAAAGGCCAGCACGCGATTGTAAATAAGCTTACCTAAACCTATTGCCAATATCTTGAAAATCCGAAAATTGGCGAGCTCATCAGGCTTAAACTTTTGTAGGCCCCCTGTAGCATAAATAGCACAGGGAAGCGATGGTACCAGTTTTTTATCCAGTAAGCTAATTTTGGAGTGTTGTAAATTGGCGGAAACAGATAGTAAATTAGTAACCAACTGTCTGTCTGTCTGGAGCTTGAGCACATATCGCACACTGTTGGTTGAAGTAAAAAAAGA